TTAAACCTATGTATATAGAACATTCATAAAATTTCACATGCACTAATATTTCGTATTATATTTATGACTTTCATGTGATAAAAGCACTAACGTATGATCCACATATAGCACTTTTGATGCATAATCACACGTGGCCTTATAATTCGTCAGCACCTTGTATTTTTATTCTGAAATCGGAATTCTGAAACGAGAAACTGAGTTAGGCGTGACGTTATACGAAAAGGCTTGAACATTTGAAAATAAGTTTTTTATTTATTTATTTTTGTGCACTTTGACAAGAGTGTGCAAAATAGGCACATACAATATTGTTTTAGAGACTATATAACTATAGAATGAATTATGTGTTACAAAAGTATACAGTTTCTATAGTTTGTGCCGTTTGGCACGTCAATAGCGATCATTGACCCGACTTTCATCCCGAGGTCACAATTCAACGACAACCGATCGCTGATCCCTATAAATCTGTCGCAATATTGATATCGCTTGAGTATCATAATAAAATTCAATGACACAACTTAAAAACGTGGAATGAAAAGGTGAAATTCATTAATGCATGTTATTATTCATATATTCATATCATAGTGTTATTATTACAATTATAAATTATCCTTTTAATTATATTATACGCGTTTAATGAAAATAAACATTATGAATTACATTACCACTTTATATGATAATTAATATTTAAAACTCGTGCATAATAACTATAATTTAGTTTTTTCAATATCAAAATTTTAAAAATACAAAATGTATATCTATTTTTATTTAATATCTATAAACAGCACTGTTGATCATTGCATTCTTTAGGGATTTTGATGCGTCGATGGGACAAACCTTAGACTCACCTTTTGTAGGTCGAATGGACAATCGAGAAAACGTTTTCGAGCAAATTAATGTTTGATCAAACCGCATTCGATCTCAAGTAGGGAACGCCATATTTATTTTTGTAACTAAACTAACCTGTGTTCTTCTCCTAGGTGTCATCTATCTTTATAACAAAATTCATCAAAATTGCTCAGCGGTTTAGGCGAATACTTTTGCATTTATAATATTAGTTTGGATTAGCCAGAGCTCCAAATTGCATTTGTAGTGGTATTTACAGAAGTATTTGTGGTTTTTATGCGAATGACACACTACTACATATACAATTATCTAGTATCACTATACTTTGCAAAATAAGCTATATCTATTGGAAAACGAATACATTTTTCTTTTACCTTCATAAAAGCCGAAAGATTGGTATAATAAAACGACATAACACTGAACCGAAACTTGTAGTGTTTTGATTTCGCACGAAAGCGCAATGCGATTTCCACGTTTAAAAAATTACCTATCAACGTTATATATTAACCGCTGTTCAATTTATTGGTTACTTGTACTCAATGCAATCGATTGAATCTAAGTCACTATTACGAAAAGGGTAAAATAAAACAAAAACTTGGCACGTTCAATTCAAAATTATTATTTATTTTATTCTTAAAATCATTGACAGGTAATTACATTTATTAACTGTTTAGGATTATATTTCACAAATTATTTACATTAAACATTATTGTACTCAATTGGTATACTTTTACATTATTACAATTTCAACGGTATTGTTCAACTTGTTATATAATGTGCTTTACAGATAAAATAGAAAGAAATAAAATATTTTATTTGTCATAATTATCCATTAAGTACACAGTGGTTCGACATAATAAAGGCTACGGCGTAACATTTTTTTAAACTTTCAACTCCAACGAACATACTGAAAATTAAGATATAGGACTGTCGGTTCGGCTGCTTGAATTCACTGGTAGTTCCAGTACTAGCGCGGAAAGCTAGTAGAGGGTGAGCTAGATATCCTCCAGTCCCTTCGGCGTCAGGAGGAGATTTGGTAGTGAATTTTAGAGTTAAAAGCTTAGCGGTGGCAACCGTTAGTTGTGCAACGCACAGCGAGAAGTGAGCATGCCAACAGCTCTGGTACGTATCTGGAAAATAAGTAGGGTATTTGTACGTGCATCCGGAGCTGCTCACTCAAGGCACTAGCCTCTTGAGAACCGAATGATGTCCGTGACAACGGTCTTTGACAACCCTATCCACGGGCTGATCTGGGGTCAGGACCTGAACTTATAAGGTCCCTGTGCTTGCATAGGTTATAGTGCACTTCCCGCATAACCAAGAGGTTGATAATCACAAGTATTTGAAAATCCTGCTGGACCCACTAGTTAAACCAAGCAGTAGAACTAGCCAATCTGAAGTTGTTTTGTCGATATTTCGGCCAATTACCAGACATATTTAAGATGCGGTTTACGACCCATGATTAGACAAACAATAGAATTCCTTTATTTGGACATTACATATGTCAGTAAATATAACGCAATACTATTGGTTGCTGAAACAAAGTTGTTTAGAAGGTATCTTGCCGCATAGGTATTTTTTAGACTTAATCGACAGCCATAGTTTAGTGGGTTGCATACTTGCACACCTATTTTCATGGTGTCGCCATCTCTGAGGTCTCAGGTTCGATCCCCGAACGGGTCTCTGTAGAAAACTAACTTTTGTATATTGTCTCGGGTCTGGGTGTTAGTGGTACCGTCGTTGTTTCCGATTGCCATAACACAAGTGATGTTAGCAGCTTTAGGAATCTTTCTACATACGGAACTGAATAAAGATAAAAACATTAAATTTTTCCCACTAGTTCCATGCATGGAACTTTTGGATTTCAGTTGTTCCTTGTGGAACTGAGTACATGGAACTGCTGGGAATAAACCGCTTTACCTACTTACTTTGGGATCAGAGCAACGTATGTGATATTGTTTAATATTTATTTGTTCAAGTATAATAAATAGAAAAAAGGAAAAAATATTTATTATAAAAGAAAATTAGAATTGACAATTAATCAATATTTGAAAATGTTAATGTCTGCTGAACTTCTGATGATGGCTCATGTAATTCTCCAGTGCATGAAAGTGTCATAATTTTGCATTGTATCTTACTTTGCTCATAGCCGGTATCCAGTTTTTCATGGCTAATATAGCCTCTTGTTTTAAATTAGATAGAATTTCCGTTATGGCTCTTCTCACTAGAAGTAATTTTCACGACGAAAATACAAAAAAACAGAGAAGAATACCAAAAAATTTCGTTTATTTTACCACCTTTTTCTTTTTTTAAAATAGTATGCGGTACATGTAGGTGTTTTAATTCTTGCAGTTACGAACACTGGGCAGTTGGTAATATGAGTATTTCTTTTGCTTGTTTACATAGTTAATTGTTTTAGTAGATAGATTAAAGTTTAGAGCAGCAGACAGTAATGGATTTTCATACTTGCTTTGCAGGCCTTGACCGGGAAGAAGTCGCACGGTCCACAAATGACAAACTTTCCGTGTTCGTTTTTTGAACGTAATACAAACATTTCCGAGCAAGTGTGAGAAAAGCTTATTTTAATATCAAAGTACCGTTACTCACTTTCGACCATTGGGTATATCCCTTACGTTTGCAGAGGCTTTAGCTAAAGCCCTCTCTCTAGTCTAAAGATGGCATTTGATCACCTCACCCTCGATTTACAGTTGTCAAGCTTCGCAAGTAATTGTCAGTGATCCTTGAAGCGATAAATTGTAAATAAACCTTTGTATTCTACGTTAACCATTTTCAGTCGTATTTCTATACGACTAGTGGTTAACATTGCTTGGTTGACCCAAATATGATGGTAGCAAGGTAGATAATTATATAGTTTGCACGTTTTTAACTAGTTTGTTTGTTTCATAAGACTAATACCACTGTAAACTGAAATAGTTAATTTGTTAAAAATATTTCTATTTTACACGCAAAACGAAAAAATCATAAAATGATTGTATATAACGTCGCCTTAACCTCGAGCACGCGTTTTCACATAGTTAGTTTTTACTACTTTTTCTTTAAGAAAAACTTATAAATTTCTTGCTCAAATATATTATTAAAGTAATATAATATCTAAAAGAGGTATAATTTAACTAATTAAAATGTTAACTTACAAACATTCTTGCGTTAACTGCATTTTACACCACATTTTTACCTTCGCCCTAAAAATTACATTAAAATCACATACGAGGTATTCACTCTAAAACGACGATAATGTCAAATAAAAACTGTCTTCCATATTATTTAAATTCAAATAGTATTTTTTGAAATTGTTTCAACTAGAAAATAAATTATTATCTTTATTATAAATATGATTTTATCTGAAAAGCACGAAACATTTGATTACGTTATATCTAATTTTTATACACGGGGAAAGTTTTATAACAAAGTCTAAAGTAATTATACGTAGACACAGTACAGGCAATGTTAAAATCATTCATATGAAAATAAGAAAAATTAAAAAAAATATTAAATTTGTTTGCCGACATTACGACATACTTATGATTTTCAATTAATAAAAATTCAATTATTCAGTTATTAAAAAGTTGTGTGTGATTTATAAAACGAACTTTGACTTCGATTATGGAAATGTATAATGTAATAATAATGTGCCAGATAACCACACCAATTGCCTGGTCTCAAAACTAGGGAATTCCCTGTAAGTACCAGAGCGACGGAATTCACTCTAGGACACTACCTGGAACACCTTAAAAAGAACAAATTTTAAGAAGTTCATTTCCCAAATTGTTTCTACCGGGAAACAAACCCGGAATCTCGGTATCTAGCGTCCACAGTGAAAACTATTACGCCACCAAGATCGACAACATTGCGAGCTAAGCAAGTTTTTCGTGCTTACAAAACGAACTTACCCTAAGTTTAAGCAAGAAATTTAATTTTGACTTTAGTTCGTAATTAAAATATGTATCAATTAATTATGTAGTAAATTTAAATTTGAATTAAATTTCTTACTTAAACTTAGGCTAAGTTCGTTTTGTAAGCACGAAAAACTTGTTAAGTTTGTTAGTTTTGCTTAGTCGAAGCAAAAGTTCGTTTTATAAATCTCAGCCTAAGAGTATAACCAAAGCAACAGATCGACGTCGATCGGTTGAATATAGTAGAATATATTGTAGTATAGTTCTGAAGCAATTATAAACCAAAACCTGATATAATATTTACGAAGAAAAATACTAAATAGTTACAAAGTATGGCTGCGCCTTGACTACTCTCTAAACAAAGTCTATTTCTCACACAACTTAACACAATCCGAAACCAAATAACTATGCCCATTGCACTGTACTTTGATTATAATTTTTATAGTATTATGTACATATTTATTATAAATGAACAACGTTAGCCAAACCCGTAGAGATGTGTCAGTAGCAATATCTTGAACGATATTATGGTTAATAAAAAATGTATGACTGTATGTATTTGTTGTATGGTCACCGCTGAGTTGTTGCCATGTTGCATGGCAGCTGGGGTTTCACCTGTGAAAGAAAAAAAAATTAAAGATTGTAATTAATGTGTCAAATTGAGAATGAAACTTTTTCACTGGACATAATAAACATAATCCAATGATAACCCAAGTCAATTTGCATCAGTATTCTTTAAAAATGAAAATTATTGTCCAGCAGAAGTAGAGTAGTAATAGCAGTAGAGCTCCTTGTGAAAGAGTTCCTTCAGGGAAGTACATTTACCGTACCTATTTCTACCGTCTACCAGTACTTTCGGCATTACTGCGTTCCGGATTTGAAGGGTAAAACTCAATTCACATTGCTGCGTAAGGGAATGGAAGTGAATTTTTGTTCCCATAGCATAATGAACTTTTTGTCAATTGCGTAACGTACAAACTAGATACGAGCCATAAAACAAGTCGCGCATCTTCGGGAGAATTTTACACAATTCGGAATTTCCCGCAGCTACTGGTATCATATCTACTTATAATAATAAAAAGTCGCTTCCATTCCCTTCCGCGGCAATACAAATTGAGCCTAAGGGTGCTAGTGATATTGAATTTTTATGACTTAGGAAGACGGGCGTAGTGGCAGATCTTTGCGATTTTAAAACTAAGTAGCGGTAGAGCTACTTGTGAAAGAGTTCGTCCAGGGAAGCACTGCCGCCATGTTACCCATTTCAGCCGCCAAGCTGTAATGCGTGCATTACTGCGTTGCGGTTTTAAAGGGTAAAGTGAAATTACAGGCACGTGGGGCTTGTCAACTTATGTTTCGGGTTGACGGACACAGTGGGTGTGCCCCTCAGACCTATGCGGTTTAAATCTCTGCTAGGCACTGCAACTGTTAGTAGGCGTGTCCCTTATCTACCAGCAGGCGCACGACTTATTCGTTCTTTTACTTGATATTTGTCATAAAAAAAGAAAATTACTTCAATATCTTTTTCGCAGTTTGTTGTATCTATGTTATTTTCTATTTCGACATCAGTTGCTTCTCAAATGATACATCTCTTATTATATACGTTGACCGATCCGTGAAATAAACTATTTAGATAAGTAGACCGATCGGGAAAACCGACATATGGTTCGGAAGATAATAACATACTTGTAACTTACTTATAACATATAAGATGTATTGTGTGTTGTGAATGCTTGAGATTGTGTGAAGTGATGGATGTCAGGAAATCGAGTGTATTATTATGAAGTATTTTTTTCTCTCTTTCTGTTATTTCTTTATTAACCTAGTTTCACGTGTTATTAATTTCTTAACTGCAGTACCGTGTAAACAAATATATTTGTAATAAATAAATAAATGACTAAGCCGGACCCTGCCGCCGACGTCATATGTACCTGCTTATATTAAGTACAGCTTTATTTTCAAGTTAAGTATAAAAGTAACTAGTTCTAACTAGTGTCCTAAATGATTATTGTTATTGATAATTTATATTGATAAATATACCTTGGTAATAATCTGAAGATTTATAAAATTTATTGTTATTACAAAATGGTACCGCGCCATCAATAGCGGACTTTACACAGACACTCTATCGCGCGTGATACAGCGATCGTGTGCAATTGAGCGCGCGTGTAACGACGTTGGAAGAGAAAGATCGCGCGATTGCGCTCATCGGTCGCACGCGCGATCGCGCACTCCAACACGCGCCAGTTTCACGCGGACTGTCCTGCGGTATTACCCTTTACACAGACGCTCTTTCCTATGTATGTGACTGTGTAAAGGGGGCTATAGTCCTGCATTTATTTGTAAGTCAATGCCTGCAGTGTACTTATATCAGAGACATGTTCAAACGTGTCAAATGTCAGTTTAAAAAGTCATCAAATCTTTTCCCAGCGATCTTTCTTCGTTTCGTCGTGTTCACTTTCTTCATCTTTCTTTTTAGTAAAAAATTAAATGAAATCGTTAGGATAAATATCAGATATGTATTGGATAATTATCATAATTATCAGATAATTGTCATGATAATTATCAAAGAAATATGTTGATAATTTGAAACCCTGTTTACAATCCTTGTGTCCCCAACCCGCATTACGTCAGTGTGGCAGTGGACTATGGCTATGGATTCCACAGAGAGTGAAGATCGTGTGATGTTATATTATTTTATCCTCGCTGATGTACTTCATAAACGAAATCTGTAAAAACAAATTTCTTTGTTTATTTAATCATATTCAAAAATTAAATTATTTTTATCAAAATTCAATCCCCCAATCCCTCAAAATAAAAATTAATTTCAAACACTGAATCACAATGAGGTAGTGAAAAATATTCAAATTTCGAATTCCTATTGGCAACTTAATTTATATTCCAAGTGCGTGAAATTAACAAATTTAAATTTTAAAACAATATCTGGTCACGAAAATTGGCCAAGCCGAAATGTTGGTGGATTTTTCGTTCATTACTCAATATCAGTTTAATTTGCTGGACCAACAATGGTTGCCAACAAAACGAGCGGAATATGAAAATTATTAATGTTTTTTTCTTGTAACAACATACTCCTTGTATATAGAATCATGGTTGCTATAAATAGTTTCCTTTATTCTTGAGTCTTTTTAGTGAAAACCATTAAGTTTATAATGAAAATAGATCTTAAATGTCATTAGTTGACCAGACAGTGGGTGACCGCTACTGCGATAGCCATTGCCTGCGCTTAACGCAAAAAGAGCATTAAGGTGTCCATAGATCAGCAGCGCACGCATCTGACGTATCACATTATACGGCTTTTACTATTCTTTGTATAGAAGTTCATACAACTGCGTCCACTGATCCGCACTGCACGGACCGCACGCACCGGCCTGTTGGTAATGCCGACGCAGTTGCTCGGAGGGGCAATTGCTATTTGTTAAGAATAGTATACGAAAATACTGGAAGAATTTTATCTTATCATTTAGCAAATCAGGGAATAGCGTATGATATTCTCCATGTTGCGATCTCTTCTTAAATATGACATGTATCCAGATATCATGTTTCCTTTTTTCTCTTCTTTCTTCTTCTACCAACAAACAAGCCACCACGACTAATAGTTCTTCATCACTTTCTAAATCCGTTGTCTCGCACACACAAGTTACACTCGTCCGCTCGTTACGAAAAGTGGCGTCGACAATCCGATAGCTAGTAGTTGCGTCGGCAATCCGATTGCTACGGAAACAGCGGACGCACTGCCACAAAACCGTTTGATGCGACTTTTACGAACAAATATTTTCCGTGTTTTATTTTTCGTGTTCCGGCTGTCGTCGGATTTCTATCAGTTGCCGTTTGCACTTGGTGCAGATCAGATACACTAATTCAACTTTTAAGTATGTAAAGAAACTGTACCGTGTCAAACCAATACACTGTAATATAAAAAGCATTTTGAAAAATGCTGCAAAGATGATTTTTGTATTTTTTCAGATTAACAACGTAAAAATACGGCGTGTTTTACGCAAAAAAAATGTGTAGACCATTATCGTTGAAATTTCTATGGCCGGATTTACTTTTTAGGGAAGTACGGAACTTCATGTATCTTTTTTTTATATAAAAGAATGATTTTTGTTAGTCTCAAAAATCTTTCTTTTCTATTCTTCTTCTTTTATATTTCTTCAAATACAAAATAAATTATTTAAAAAATTATATTAAATTATCTCCTACTTTCATTTACTACCTCATTATACCTAATGACTCTCTACTTTCATTTACTACCTCATTATACCTAATGACTCTCCTAGTCTATAACCTACCGGTTATAGACTAGGAGAAAACGTACTCGGTACATCAGCTGTCTGTTTAATGGTCACAATTGCTAAATTGAAAGTTTTAAAATTTTATTGAATCGATATTCAATTATTTTTTTGTGAAATTACTCCACTAGTTTGTTATAATTATTAATACAAAGATCGAACACTCAGAAAAAATTCCTTGCATCCGGCCGGATTCGAACCGACGTCTTCTTGCTTACCGTGGCAGACGCTATACCAACTAAGCGAAGGAGGTAAAGGTACTTACTGGGTGATAAATCTTTCATGGACTTCTCATAGATGGCGCTACGATTAAAAAGTCGTTGAAAAACCAAATAATTCGTAAGGTCCGCTGGTTCGATCTGTGGCTTAGTTGGTGTAGCGTCTGGTACGGTAAGCTAAAAGACGTCGGTTTGAATCCGGCCGGATCCAAGGATGGCAGTTTGAATCGAAGGATTTCTTTCTGAGTGTTAGATCTTTGTAGTAATAATAAAAATAAAAGTTTTTTTTTAAGTAAATGTACTTGCTTTTGACCATGAACTATCCTTGGAGCAAAGACAGGGTCTAGGATAGAACGAGCTCGTCCAAAAAATGCATTTTCCAGTCGCATATTAGAAATACTCGAGTTGTATGTACTCGGAAACCCAGTCGCATGCAGGGAATACCATTTCTGGGCAGCGTGTCGAAAAGCTATGCCTGAAAGGAATATCGACCAAGTGGGGACAATATCCCGCCGTACATCTGGATGTCCGATGGTAAAAGTGGGTAGGCGGATTGAGCTCATGGGCATACTCACCGAAGCATATTCTGTCGAACACTAACAGACTTTCCGTCGGTAAAGATGAACACAACCTCCTAATTGGAATCAAACCCAGGACTTCTTAAATAGGAGGTAAACGTAATCTCGACTAGGCGATCGCAGCTTTTATTAATATATAGATTATGTACTTGTACGTACAAAGAGAGCAATTTCCTGTGCTCTTTTATCTATACAGGTTTATATAATAAGATAACTGAAGATGGCTCGAGTTAGCCTGAGGCAAAATCTTGTCAGAAAATGTCTCGTACCTAATTTCCTTAAATACATAAACAGCCCCATAAACATCTTCCTTTATAATTTGACTGATATAATATTTCCAGATATGAACTGTACATCCGTGTTAAATTTCTTTTTAACATTTTTAATTAATATGACGACATAGCGTATACATAGCTACCTAAAACTAACAAAACAAAAATTCACTGAGACTTGTCTGTATGGTTTTAAGCCTTTACCTTTTCCTTAACGAAATAATTTAAAAAGCAATAAAT